TTCATGATTCTGCAGCAGTGGGTTTTGCCACAAAGTTAATCTCTTGCTACAGAAGTGTGTTAAGCCTTTCCAAAATAATGGTAACAATAATTAATAATAATGATAAGCCTGAATCATCATGGTGTTATTTCAGTTTGACACCTATATGGTGTTAATTCAGTTTGATACCTATATGGGGTACAGTATACTCTCATTCAGTTGCAATGAAGTCTGACTTCATTGACATTGAATGAGAGTACACGGCACCCCATATAGGTGCGTAGTAGCTTCCCTGCTCCCTTTCTTACTCAGAGGCCTCTGCTGTCCCATCCCGTTCCCCCCCACCACCACCAGTTTATTTGGCTAGTTTCTCTTGTGTCTTATAATACCACATATTCCTGGTAAAAGTAATATATAGTAGGTTCCTAAATTTACAAAAAAACAACATTTTATAAAATATTTAAAGTCCTACAGATTGCTGGGGATGGGGGAAAGCATCTAAATTATGTGTTGCTATTCTACTACTAAAAAAAACCCTGCTTCACTTATTTAAACTATGGTAGAGAAAAAATAAAATAACTGTGAAGGAAAAAAATCACCCCATAGGTATTTATCTTCCACCCTATACAGCAGGGTTGGGTCAGCTGACCTTTCTGTTGATAAGGGCATCATGTGCCAGTTGCAAAAAGCCTGCATGTCACTGTAGTTTTGTGTGTGTGTGAGAGAGAGTGTCTTAAAGAGAAGCAAGGCCTTCCCCACAACTCAATGGAATTCCTCTTTTTCTGTCTTAGAGCTGGTTGGAAAATTAAACCAAACATTGTTTGGTCACAATTTACAGGTTTGTCAAATAGTAAAGTTTTGTGGAAACGGTTATATTTTGATAGACTCTCTACTGAACACTCTCTCCTTACTAACCTGCCGTCGCTACTGAACACAGGGAGCGTTCCATCTGAATCCCTGTTTCAGTGTTTCCAAAACAAAATATTGCAGCATTTCAAAATATTGAAAAAAACTTGGACGTTTCAGCTCTTTGTCCCAATTTGGGTTATAAAGTTCCAAAAATTCAAACATTTTTACAGATGTGAAATTTTGTTTTCTGGCCAGCTCAGTCTATTTGTCTGTATTGTGAAAACTTTTGTATGCCACATCGGATCAATTCCAAAATTGCAGGGAAAGTTCTATGCATCAATGGCAGAAAGAACCCAATGATTTTGGTGAAAATTGGAAAAATGATAGGAGGGAAATTAGAGACACACAGAGTCCCTTGCAACTGGTTAGCAGACCCAGGAGCTTCAAGCACCTTTGCAATTGTCTAGAATGGGTTGCATTAGCAACTTTCAGCATTCCATCTCAGCTCTGCCCATCCTCCCATCTGTGGGGGACCACACAGCACCTCTGGCAGAGAGAATAGGGGACACAGGTATGGGGGGAAGGACAACATGGGGGATGAATATCCCCAGCCATGTGGCAGAAGAGGGAATGTGGGGGTACTCAAAACTGCCATGGTGAGGAAGAGTGAAAGGGGGGAAAGGAGGGATGGGGAGACTGGGGATAGTGGTATGAGGGAGAAGAATATGTGTGTGGGTGGGGGGTGTAGACAGACAGTGGTATGGGGGATAATAGGAGAGGGAGGGAACACAAGTGAATTAAATTAAATCTGAGGCCACTTTACTGATGAATGAGAGCATTGGCACATGAGTATAATGTACTTTAAATTCACACCTTGAGTTAATTTAGCATAACCTTCCTGAGTGTCCCTGTGTAGCCATGCCTTCAGGAGTCTTACAGAGTCAGGCTCCAAGTTCCTAAGGGTTTGGCTGCACCACTGTAGCGCTTCAGTGTAGACACTCACTGCAGTGGCAGGAGGGCTTCTCCCATCGTTGCAGTTAATCTACCTCCCTGAGAGCTGGTAGCTAGGTCAATGTAAGAATTCTTCCATCAACCTAGTGCTGTCTACATCAGGGGTTAGGTCGGCTTCATTACGTTGCTTGGGGTGTGGATTTTTCACCCCCCTGAGCAACATAGCTGAGTCGACCTCACTTTTCAGTGCAGACCTGGCCTCTGGCTACTACACTACGGAGCTTATGTCAGCATATCTGTCAGCCAGCCCTCTGGTATAGATCTGGCCTACACCACCTCCCTGAATGACAGTAGCTATGCTGACTGAAGCATTCCATCAGGGGTGTGGTTTTTCACACCCCAATTGATATAGGTGTGCTTGAATAAATTTGAAGTGTAGACCAAACCTAAGTTACCTCTGAAAATGTTATCCAGTGTCTGTATTCTCCTCTATGCTAACATGAGGGTCATCTTGCTGTACCCACCAGGGCTCTTTGCATTCCTCCATTCTCCCCACTCACACTCCCCATTTGCCACCCTCCCATTCCCCTCTGTTCAGGGGCTCCCTACACAACTCCATGCCCATCTTCATGCCAGGGGCTCTGTGTGCCTCCCAGGTTGCCCCCTTCTAGTGAGTAAGCTAAACTGAACTAATGCCACTTTACTTCTGAATGAGAGCATTCACACAAGGGCCAATGCACTTTAACTGATGCACTTTACATTCACACCTTTAATGAATTCAGCATAACTTTCTTGAGTGTCCCTGTGGAGACTTGCCCTAAGAGACTTTTGGAAATGAGATTTAGCCTCCTAAGTGAATGCCTACATCAGTGGTTCCCAAACTTGTTCCGCCGCTTGTGCAGGGAAAGCCCCTGATGGTCCAGGCCAGTTTGTTTACCTGCCGCATCCACAGGTTCGGCTGATCATGGCTCCCAGTGGCCGCGGTTCGCTGCTCAAGGCCAATGGGAGCTGCTGGAAGCGGCAGCCAGTACCTCCCTCGGCCTGCGCCGCTTCCAGCAGCTCCCATTGGCCTGGAGCAGTGAACCGCAGCCAGGCTGCGATCGGCCGAACCTGCGGACGCGGCAGGTAAACAAACCGGCCCAGCCCACCAGGGGTTTCCCTGCACAAGCGGCAGAACAAGTTTGGGAACCACTGGCCTACATTATAGGAATTATCCTGGCATATAGCTATGCTAGCATAACCCCACAGTGTAGACGCAGCCTATAGAAACAAAAAGGGATACTATCTCCCTGCATCATAGTAGTTAGGTCAGTGAAGCATTCTTGCATTTGATCTAGCTGTGTTGATATTGGGGTTTAGGTTGGTATGGCAACATTGGTCAGCAATGTGGATTTTTCACACCGCTGACCAAGGTAGATATGTTGACCTAAATTTTCAGTGTAAACCAGGCATAATTCATTTAGGCCCTTCTGTAAATTTTACTCCTGATACATTTGAATACATTGTAGTACAACTTTTATGGGTTTGAAAATCTGGTTAAGTTCCTATTTCGTCCCTTCCTCTCAGAAGAAATCCTTTTTACCCATTATACTTATCCAGATACTACTGGCTTGAATGTGGTCTCAACACTCAATATAAACCCAAGTCTACTTATTCTTAAACAGAACTAGCAGTCTATTTAACTTGAACCTTTATTACCACAGCTTCCGTTAGGGAGTTAGAGGGTTGGACTAGATGACATCCTGAGGTCTCCTCCAACCCTGATATTCTATGACGGGGCATATGTCTTAGCAGTGAGCAGTAATGGTGTCTTATGTAACAAAGCACAAGTATGACAAAATAGCGATAATAATATGCTAGAATCCTTCCCCCATAAACAAGACAGTTCAAACACAGGCCATAATGCTAGCCTCTCCTACCCCAGAGCTGGGATCATAAGTAGACTGTCAAAATATGGTCTTCTGGCTGGCAGAACAATGTACTGTTGCTGACTTTAGTAGTGCATTTGAGGCTGAGCTTCTAGAAGGGGTCCTTTAAGTCCACAAGTGCTGCCTGGTTGATTTAAAGTTAGAAACTCACTAGATGTTTTTCTGAGGGGTCAGCAGAAGGTACTTGGAAAATTCTCTAAGTGTAGAGTTGACAGTATCACAGAGAAATACAGTATAAGTAAAATTCTGGAAGATTGGCATGTTAAACTGAGCTATGATTTAGGACATTTAGAGCTGTGGGATACATCAATAAGGTGTCAGGGTTTTCAACATAGGGGAGATATTTATTCTACAAGAATAGAGGTAAGGGCTAGGATTCTTGCTGATTTTTTTGCAGGTGAGTTGATTAAGTCCATTTAAGAGGATAAACTGACTTAACCCCAACCTTTAATGAGATATTTATACAGAGAGACCTACATGTAATTTTCATGTGTATGTTTCTTGTTGTATCTGTAGAGGATAGTTGCTATTAAATCTTTGACCTTTCATATCAAATGAATTTCATCGTAATATTTCAACTTGTAATTTCAAAAACAGATTTATGAATTGTTTCCAGATTTAAACTACTCAAAAGGTTCAAATCATTTGAGATGCTGAGTCCCTTCAGCTTCCATTGAACTCTTGGCATCTCACAACATGGAATCTAAATGATTCATTAGAATGATTTTGAAGATAAGTATTACAGTACTTACATCGCAGTAAGTACAAATATACTTCATCAGTGGGACTAAACATGCACTTGCTATGCCCTCTACAGAATGGTCTTATAAATATAAGAGTCTTGATTCATCACTGTGTTACTCTAGTGTTATGCCTCTGTCACTCCAGTGTGATTGTCTGGGGTCTTAAAGTTCTTTCATGTTCATAAGAAGTACATTCCTAGGTACAACTGTTGTCTCTCCAGGGTTTTCATAAACTATAGTGATATTTCAGCAGAGTAACATTTAAATGTGAAAAGTGCCCTGTCCAAAGTGCCTGAGAGAGGGCAACCCTTGTGAGAGGAAGAAGTGCTCACTAAGAGTATAATTGTGGCACACCGTAGCAGGGTTGGGAAAGGGAAGGGCATGTTTTGAATGGGCCATTATTTTCAGTTGGGTTGCACTAGAATAACTGGAGTATTGCTAAGTGAATCAGGCCCCAGAAATCCATTCTAGAATGATAACATTGTAAGAAAGTCTGTGTCCAAAGAAGTTTAAATATTTTTGATGAATTTATATTACATTCTGTTTTCAGCATCGGCCAAACCAAGACCCCACAGTGATGAATATACCAAGAAGATCCCTCCTCCTAAGCCTAAACGAAATCCAAACACTCAGCTAAGCACATCTTTTGATGAAACGTACATCAAAAAGCATGGCCCCATGAAGACAACACTCACTAGGGATGCCTCTTTATTGCAAGTCAGCAGTCCTGCCCCAGACACAGAAGAAGAAGAGCCTGTTTATATTGAAATGGTTGGGAATATACTAAGAGACTTCAAAAAAGATGAGGATGACCAAAGTGAAGCAGTCTATGAGGAGATGAAATACCCTATATTTGATGATGTAGGCCAAGATTCAAAGTGTTCATGTGAATATGACCATCACAGTTGTTCTTCTCAGTGTGCTACTCCCACAGTGCCTGACCTAGAATTCACCAAGTCCTCAGTGCCATCTACTCCCAAGGGCTTGCTTTGTGATATCCCCCCACCATTTCCAAATCTACTTTCTCATAGACCTCCACTACTGGTGTTCCCGCCAGCACCAGTGCAGTGTTCCCCAAATTCTGATGAGTCTCCTCTAACTCCACTGGAAGTCACAAAGCTTCCTGTATTAGAAAATGTGTCTTACATCAAACAACAAGTTGGAGCTTCTCCATCTTCACTGCCACCTCATACACCAGGCCATCAAAAACCGGAGAAAGACCAGACAGTATCTCATGGAACTACCACTCCTGGGCACTCCTCCTCACCTCCTCATCCTTCTACCTTATACAGAACACAGTCTCCACATGGCTACCCTAAAAGTCACTCTGCCTCACCCTCTCCTGTCAGTATGGGTAGGTCTCTTACCCCCTTAAGCCTCAAAAGACCTCCACCTTATGACTCTGTACATTCAGGAAGTCTCTCAAGAAGTTCTCCATCAGTGCCTCATTCTACAGCCAGAAACACGTTGCAAGAAGGGGGAAAGATGGTAAATGCCTCGGTCAATACCTACGGGTCATCATCACAGAGTGGTTCACGTTCTAGAACACCAACCAGTCCTTTAGAGGAATTAACCAGCCTCTTTACCTCAGGACGAAGTTTACTGAGGAAGTCGTCCAGTGGCAGAAGATCTAAAGAGCCTGCAGAGAGTAAGTTTTCAATACACTGTTTAACTGTCTCATTTACAGCATTATAACTCTTGTCATATTTTATTAAATCAGAACTGTGCAAATAACCACATAACTCAGCAACATGAATTATATATGCCTATTCCATTCCAGAGGAAAGTTGATTACCGATGAAAACTGCTTTTATATTTCATGTTTTTATTTTATATATCAAGGTTTCAAAGCTATTTGTCCTGTGTTATGAAAGCTTGCAAAAGAGAACTGTAAGAGATTTAAGGCCCAATCCCTGAAAGGTTTTAAAGGTTTCTGTTGTGGTGCTGAGTTCTGTCCAATGCCATTGAAGTGCCCTGAACTCACATGGAATTTATACCTCATGGACTCAGGCCCATAAATAATTAAATAATGTTATAACATGATAAATGTCCTAGTTGTTTTCAACAAAAGAATGCCACACCTTTGTTTCCTGGCTAACAGTCTCACCCTTAGCTCCCATTAGCTTTGAGGCTGCTCAGCATCTTGCAGCATTCTGACCCTGAGACTACACAAGGTGTAACTCTAACTGCAGTTAGCAAGAGATGAACATCCATAAGGGTAAACTTGGCACAGATATTAGTATGTCCCCAAATCCTTCAAAGTCAGTGAAACCAAAGACAGGGGTTAGGGTGGAATTTGGCCCTAAGCTTTTATAGATGAGTAAAGTCAGTGAGCTTGATATGATTTCTCAGTTTATTACTTTGATATCTTGAAGCCCGAATAGCTCAAATGCTTTTATTTGAGAATAGCTGATTTTGTAGCACTCTATTGTATGTTTGTACTTATCATATATTATACCTTTTTGGCAGAGATGTAACAAAAAAAGTTCCAAATTCTGTGCTGGCTTTCATCCTAATAAGTGATGGTAGTTAGGATGTCTTCAGGCTACCAACGTTTTATAGAGAGATGGGTCATTTTCTGAACTGCTTTATAATCTGTGTATCCCCCTGAAGTCAGCACTTGATTCTTCTGTTGCTGACAGCAGTTTTACACCTCCCCTTGGGACCAAGTCTCTTCTCATGTATATGAGTGTACATCAGGAGTAACTCCTTTGAAGCCTATGGATTTAAAACCGTGGCAGTGAGAAGGGAATTAGGCTCAGTAGGATACACAGAGTATAAGTCAGTGCAGAAATTAGCCTGATCCACCTACAATAGTTTGTCAGCCTGCAGACATAAATGCATTGTATGAAAGCTTAGTTCCATGATTCAGTAGTTTTGCCACAAATAATTACAGTAATAAAAATACAATAACACCAGGTTTGTGTGTGGGATGGAAACAAATTTGGGTCTAGAATGAGAAGGTTCTTGTAATAGGGGACAAATATGGAGTATGTTACAACATTTAGGAATAATTAAAGTGAAGTGGTAGAGAAACAGTGGAGGAGTAAAACTGGCAATAAACATTATTGTTTGTTAATAAGCAAACAAAAATCCAGCACCATCCAGAGAATGAATACATTCTAAGGTTCTTTCTTTCAGTGTGCATAAGAGAGCTGGCCTTAGAACCCTGAGAAATTCTCACAGTGAATGTGTCATTAGTTCCAAATGCTGAAATTTCAGGATCTCTTTATGCTGCCATTTCACAGATGACGCCATAGGTGCTGGAACTAGGGGTGCAGGGATGGGGGTGCTGCAGCACCCCCTGGTTTGAAGTGGTTTCTATTACATACAGGGTTTACAGTTTGGTTCGATGGCTCTCATTACTCCCACTATACAAATTGTTCCAGCACCCCTGGATGACCCCCCAAAAAGTTTTCTATAGTCCACTTGACTGAAATTAACTGTAGACTATCAAGGAGAATTTCAGATATGAATTTAAAGCAGATCCTGCCCTTGAGATCTCCACAAGAAGCAGCTTTCTTACTGGCTGCCCTAGGAATATTTTGTTTGCTCTTCCAAGGGGAGAGAAAGTGCCTGTTATTGGCCATTAGCAGTGAGAGAGAAGAGGAATTAGAGAAGCCAAATTTGGTTCCTTTAAGGACAAACCATCCATGTTATGTAGTGAAGCTAACAGCAAAAGACTCTGGAGTGCTGCTGTGTAGGGGAAGTAAACAGACTGTCAGTCTAATCCTGCTTTACTTCATGTGGTATTTACAGTATGATTTAATCTTCTGGGATTACCACAATAAGCAAGAACAGCGTTTGTGCTCAGATATTATAGCAATAGAAATCACTGTAGGATGACTTGTAACCAAGTATGAGATGAGCAATATCTCTCATGTAATTCTACAAAAAAAAGGGGGAAAAAAAAGAGAGAGATCCACGATAACACAATTAGAGTAAATTGTGGAGTTTGAAAGCTTGTGACCAAGCTTGTCACATTTTGTGGTATATAATAACACACAGTGGAAGACAATGTAGACTAAACTTGTCTCCAGATGTATTTAAGAAATTTTACTCATACAAATCATGCAGAAAGCCTGAGGCTGTCACACTATTTTGAATCAGGATGTAATACTCAACATTTATTTGAACAAGAGAAGAGCAAATGTAATATATGGCAAACCAGCACTGGCCCTTTTTTCTTTTTGCAAGCTTAATGTAATTTAGTCTGAATGAGTTTCTGGAAACCAGATGGAAGTAGAAAAAAAAGAGAAAGTTGTGTCCATCTTATGAAATAAGAGCTCAGAAACTAATCAATGTGTAGTTTGAAAAAATATATATATTTATTCTTGGCACATCTCAGGCAAGATTCTCATTGAAGCCTACGCAATTTGGCCCTCTGTGACTTGTTTGAAGTACTCACTGCTAAATGTAAGTTTTAAAAACTGCATGATACAGGATTTTGGATTCAAATTGGGCGTAGTAGGAATGTACTGTAGCAATTATGGAGCAAAGTCGACTCAGCTACATGGTTGCCACTCCAGCTGAATTTGGAAATGTTGAAAAGTTTCATTTCATTTCAAGTAGGCTCAACATTAAGCTGCGTCTGCCTGAAGTGCTGCAGGGCTGTAGTTTAGATGCTTCTGGTCCCTTTTGCTCTATGCTCTGGAATCCCCAGCTAAACTGCATCTCCCATGATCCACTGCAGCAGATCAGCCAAAGGGGAGGCTGCTGTGCATCATAGTAGTGTTGCCTAGGGAAATGGGAAGAGGCTATCTTTCTGAACTGTTGGGTTTTATTTTAGCTTTAGAAGAGGAAGGAGCCTCCTTTGTAGGCATAAAAGTGCTCACTGAAAATTGGCTGGAGTGGTCCTATAGTTGGCTGCAGTGGTCACTGCAGTGCTGATGAGCTCCGACTCTCATTAGCCTCCCAGGTCTCTTAGGATATGTCCAGACTGCAATGTCAGCCCAGAGCTAATAGAACTTGAGTTGGCAGACCCTGGGTTTGTTAACCTAGGGCTTGAGCATCTACACTCATTTGTAACCCCAAGTTAGGAATTGTTGAACCCTGGGTCCAAACCTGGGGCTCCAGCATCTACAATGCATTATGCAGACCCAAATTCAAACACCCGTATCCTGGACTTTCTAGCACCTTTCCCAAATGTGGCCGCTCTAACCCTTTGTTCATGGTGCAGTGTGGGAAAACTTGACTGTTCACCAAAACTGCCTGTTCAGAGGACAAAGAAAGTCAGCCCAAGGGATTGTGGGGTACTTTTGACAGACTCACAGAGCATGCTTTCAGTGGGGCTGCAGTTACACTGCAAAACAATAGGGCTTGAATCCTGGGTCCCAGCTAGACTCAGGCTTGGACCATCCACTCCCTTGGAGCCTTGGGACCCTGTGTCTGAGCCCTGGCTTAGTGCAATTTGTGCATAGACTGAAGGGGGGAGTTAAGCTTAAGCCTGAGTTTGAACCCTGAGTTTACAGTGCAGTGGGTACAGCTTAGCATTTCTCAAAGTCTTCAATGAAAGCTGTTCATCCCTTTATTACCATACGCATCCACTTCCATCCCTGATAAAACCCAAACGTCAAAAGTACCACGCGTTTGTGTGCGCGTGTGTGTATCTGTGTGCGTATGTATAAAGACATTTAAAAATCATGAAACTCTTGGCAGGAATAAGAAAAATATATTTAGCAATGTGATTCAAAATGGTTTCAAAATAGTTCAAAACTAGTTTGAGAAATAGAGACGTCTGCTTAAATGGTGGATTTTACTACAGAAAATCTATATAGTATGTGTCTTTTATAAATCTTTTGTAAAACTGTAGTACTTTTATTTTTTTAAAAGATATTTGAAATCTTTGAATTGCTCCCTTAGCCACCTTTAAATCTAACTGCTAAAGCCTTCACATTTTATTAAGGCCTTCAGTTTAAATTACTGTAAAATCTCTGATTTGGGATTATAATTTTTATTCCTGATTTTATGACAAATATATTTATATATAATCTATATTTATATATTTACAATTAAACTGTATAAACCCATCAGTATTTATAGCAATTTAAGATACCCTCTATTTAGTTTTTAGGTTTAGAAATAAGTTACTTAAGGGATAAATTTAGTTAGCTAAAGGGTAACTTTTTTAAATTTGCGGTGGGATTTTCAAAATTTCTAAAGAGATTTGGATGCTCAGTTTCTATTAATTTTAAGAGCAAAACATAATCCAGTGGAGTTGTCTGCTTATACCAGGAATGAATTTGGCCATTCATTGGGATTTTTATGTTAGTAGCTACATTGTGGCCAAAATTTTCAAACTTGGGTACCTAAAGAGAGGGTTCTAAAGCTATAATTAGGCACCTAATTAGATGTGATGAATTTGAAAACTGCTGTGCACTCAAACATTCCACTGAAACCAACTGGAGCGCCAGTTCAGCACCTTTTAAAATCATTTCAGAGTTTTTATTTAGATACCTCAACAGGGAGACTAAGTGTAGGCACCTAGGTTTGAACATTTTGGCAGGTATGTATCTGCTATTTGCTTGGACTGAATTCTGCAGTCATCCTGCATGCATAACACTCCATTCAATCCATTTATCTGGAAGGGCTGCAGAATGAGGTTGGTATCTACCCATAAAAGAAAACTGCAGGAATTACGTCAACCTA